CTAAGGATCAACTTTGCTATTGGTGGAATAACATCAGTTTCGGTGGAGTAGAATGGAGAGAGCGGATCGTCCTTGGTGGTAATCCATTTGATGGGAACTCGGGGCTCTTGCGGGGAATTTGGGGACTGAAAATGTAGATTTACAAGTGGTACGGCAAATAGCTGTCATGTCTGAGAAAATAGAAAAAATGATGACTTTGAAAATGAAGAAGTTCTGAATTGAAAAAAAAGGAGGTTTGGTATGCTCTTACCATATAAGTAATTCCCGAATCGGTTCCGGCATCCCATGGAAGTAGATCAAACGTCCGCTCGCCTACCCATGTGCAATCGGGTAAGCACAAATTTACAGATGAGATTCCCACACACCAATCGGGTGAAGGCCCGAACATGGTCGCTAGTGAGGCTAGGTGATGGTACCTAAGACGCATATTATCGATTTTTGCGGGAGGGAGGGAGAAGGGAGACTCACTTGTTCACAACAAAATTTGCTTTTGTCCTGCTTTGAACTTCCGGATACCAAAGTCCTTTAACCTTCATCAATGTACGCACCTCTGCTGCCTAGAGAATTCGCGATTTTATGTGTTCCCCAGCGAGAACTGGTCCCGAGCTCACCTTCTCCTTTGCCTCGGCCTCAGCTTTGAATGTATTTCCCCATTCAGCAATTTCTTTCATTCCATCCGTGGAGACCTCCCCGATCTTCCATAGAGAATAGTTTTTGGAGTGAGAAGCACCCAGCATATCGGTGAAATGAGTGAGATGCTCAACTAAATTAGCAGGTTCAGGTATACTGTATCGATCAATAATGTTTGATGAGAGATTACGGTACGCGTTGGATAATCTTTTGGATGCGTTTCTTTGCTCCATATTCCTATAAATTCCATTTCGTATTTTGCCTGATCACAGGCACAGCATTCCGTGTTAGGGTCGTCGACTGGCACGACTTTTTGGTAACCCTCTAAACCAAAAAATTACGAACTTTTCTAGAGAAAAAATTTCTTTTCACCTTGCACGCAAAATTTCTTTGTGAGGTCTTCTTCCTCGGAATACCAAACGTATTTGGATTCGATCACAGAAGCTCGAAGTATGACACAACCTTTTGAAACCTAAAATGTTGTTTGCACTAACTATGCCAAATATTCGTAAGAAAATTCACATACATCAGGAGCCTTCCATATGGTGTGAATAGATGTTTTTGGTCGAAGATTTGAATGGCTTACGCCTCCTTTTCGACATCCAGGAGATGTCCGTGCATCGCCACGACCGCGAACAACCTAATTAGAAAGAATATTTTGGTTGTCTAACCCAGACATTCCACTAGAATAAGTGGAGACTTTTATTTTTTTAAGAGATGGGAGATAGAATGAAATATTGATTTAATCTCTTTTGTTCTCTTCTTTAAAAGGAAGTTTGTGTTGATTCTAGCAGGGACTTTTCGTGAAGAGTCAACGCATGAGTGAACTCTCGAAAGAAAATGAGGGAGTTGGATAAACAAGTGAGGGCATATATTTTTATTTAAACTTCACAAAGTGGTCAGTAACCGCTGAGTTGATTTGACTTCATGGAAACAGTGAGTGCGTGAAATGGATCGAAATGGACTAGAAAGATGATTGTATGGAGATTTTATGAAACCCAGAAAAA